GATTTAGGACTGCTTCCTTCTATTTTTTGGTCGAAAAAAATGAGTTAGAACGAAGGGAAACCAAATCTTATAGAGCTAAACCGGCATAGGGGCGAGGGATCCACCTTCATGTGCCTGTTTGTGCAGTCTCACTAAAATCTGAATATCTCTCAATTCTGAAGTCGTATGGACAAATGATTTAGTGCGTTGGAAAGTAGACTTGTAGACCTTCGATTTCATATATTGGGGTTCTTCTAAAGCTTTATAGATTGGGAGAAAAGCTCCGAGACATTTAACCCAATTTTCAGAAAATTTATCAAAGAAACTTGCTCTTAACTTTTGCCAACTTTTTATTTCTTAACTTGCTTGACTTCAAAACTTAACTTATGATCATTGGGAGACTATATGATCTTATAAAACATCCTTATTAGCATATAAGACACTCTTTGTCTTATCCCCAAAGGTACTGGTTAACTTAAGCGTTCTGAACGAGCGGGGTGTTAGAATAGACATTCTTTAACTCAAACTTGTTTAAGGGCATCCTTGACCCATAACGTTAGTCTAATTCTTTGATCTTTTTTTTTTACCTCCCCTTTTTTAACCTTATTCTCCTGAAATGATACACCAAGTCATATAAGCCTCATACACTCATTCAATGATACACATATTATGCGAAAGAACCATGGGGTCTCACACAACAAATCTGTAACCCTACCATTAGTTTTTTTTTTAATAGGGAAAAACATTAGTAAGACATGTCCATTTCTGTTCAGTATTTTATAAAAACACTGCTTTTGGGGAATTGTTTCCTAAAACTAAAAACAAATATACCAGCAAAAGTTTCAAGTCTAACACTTATACTAAACGGCCCTTAATCTTTTTTTTCTACTGGTTCACTAAAAGCCTCTTACTATTTTCAAGAAGTCATTGAACTGAATGTCTATTCTGTTTCATTCAGTTAATCAAATGACATTGAAACTAGAATAGTCATTCAATCTGAAAGTCATTCCTTTTTTTTTCGATACATCAGTTGAAAGGCATTCCTTAAGAAGCACTGTTGTTAGAAGAGAATCAATGTCAAACAAGACCTTTTTTTACTTTCTGAGAACTCATATGAAAGTTGAACGAAAAAAATTTAGATAAAGAATGAGAATAATATGGATGCTAGCTAGAACACCCTCATCATCAGGTGAAAAAAATCAAGGTCACTACTCTCAGGAATCTATAAAAGAAATGCAGGATCCTGTTTTCCTCAATCTAATAGTGCTTAAATAACTATTTTACCATACCATCCGACAGTATGAGATTTCCATATTTGGTCTTCAGTAATGCCTGCCAAATATTCTAGCTCCACACAAATACAGGTAAGTAAGCTACTATAGTCTTTGCCTTCGTCTATTTCTTAATCAGCTTTTAATGGACTGGGCTTACAAAGATCTACCATTTGCAAATTGAATAGGTCACTGTGAAGTAATTGATTTCGAAGCCACATTATTCTTGCAGAAGATTTGATTCTATCCAATTCTTGGAAGTTGGACTAGTGAAAAGTACAAGTATAGCAATGTTCAGGGTTTGTAAGAAACATGTGAATACCTCTTCTTTGCTCTTCTTGCCTCCAGTGAACAACTTGTATCCACCTTAGAAAAGCAAGCCCCATCCAGACAACGATACAATCACAAACAGCAAAGTTTCAGATCATATAAGTATGACACTGCAACTTATATCAAACGCTTCGAAAGCATGCCATATTGAGTGTAAAATAGACAACTGACTCCACGAACTGCAATTGTCACAGTCAGCTAAGAGAATTCTATATTTCTAGATTAATATTTTTTCTTCATCTCTACTAAGAAAACACGTGGCACAAATATATAGTACTCCCTCTGTCCCACTTTAAATGACTTACTTTCTTTTTTAATTGGTCCAAAAAAGAATGACACATTTCTATATTTAGTAACAAATTCACTTTAAAATGCCTATTTTCTAGCCTCACAAATATCTATGACTTATTTAGACCACAAGTTTCAAGTCTTTTTTTATTTCTTAAACTCCATGTCAAGTCAAACTCACTCATATAAATTGGAACAGAGGGAGTAATGATTAAGGTGCTGGAGAAAACTTTCCTTTCACATAAAGGGTTTGCTAAATCATTGACATATCTTAGGGCTTTTCCCATCATTGTTGCAGGGGGTTGAGGAAATTTTCCAGAAGGTCTCTTGTGGTGACTACATCAAGACCTTTGATGTAAATCCAAAGTCAATCTTTAGTGTATCCACATTCTCTCTTTATGAGGAGTCTCATGAACTCTAAGTATAGAATTATTCTCTGCTTATATTATCTAATTAAACTTTGTTCCATACTTGCATTACTTTCATAATTATAAATATAGTCAGGCTTTCAACTATCAAGCTAGTGTGATAGGTTTGAAATATACTTATACCTGTCTTTGGTAGAAGAAGAAAAAGAAGTAATCAAACGAACAGGTTCCCAGTAAAGCAGAGTCCACGTTTCAATTCTATTATTATCATATTGTTTTCTGCTTCCTATTAACGTTATTCAATCTACTACTCCATAAAATTGAGAACGAGAAGGTTCTCACTGCCACCTACTACTTCCATTATGTGACCCATTCACCAAAAATCTCTAGAAAGAGCTTCAAGAAAATGAAAACTAAATATGCAGATAATAGATAGGTTGTCAACAGCAGAGACCTAAATAGCCTCCCCCTTAAGATTATTGAGGTTGTTTTTCCCTTTGAATAAAATAGAGCTATCCTATCAAACACCTTCCTCAGATGAGATTTCCTCCCTAATGTGCCAGATGGCTACTTTTACCCCGTTTATGCTCTCACTTTCTCGGACAAGTACAGGTCCAAACCAAAAGCCAAAGCTTCCTTCACTATGAAAGAAAGAGAGTGCCACAACTATTATTTCAAAAGCTCGGAAACTCCTTCTACACCAGTGCCTGACCATTGAACTTCTCCAATCAATACACATTTGCTTTTTCCAAATCACAACATACAATTAGTTTTATGTTAGTTTAGTGCTGGTCAATCTATTTAGGCGAAAAAAATACATTAAGTTGGAAAGGACAGTTTCAAGTGTCTCAATATACGAGACACACTCTCTTCCCTTGGTAAAGTAGAATTTAAGATCTCAATAAGTCATTTCATCAACTAACAAAAGTACTTGGACCTTAGAGGCACTGAAGCAAAGGAAATAGGAATACAGGCAAACATTTCAACCTTTGCATATATAATTCTATTTTCAAATCTATCACTATCCTTGTTACAAACACCAAACTTGCACAATCATTAGTTTATTGAAGCTCCAGATACTTTAACACAAAACTGAAACAAAATGTAGAAGTAAAGCATATAATTAGAGTTTTTCTTGTCCTTCCACTTTAGGCGCTACTTTGAGGTAGCTTTTCAGTAATGCTGTCAACCTGTTTACTTCAAAAGGTTGTGGTTGCTGCTCTCACTAAGCTATTAGGCTAACTGGATACATGGTGAAACTGAGCATACCTCCAATCTAAGTGTCTGGAGTACGAGGTAAATCTGGAGCAACTCTACCTTCCCTTCTGGGATTCTTCTTCCTCTTCCTCTCCAAATTGGGCTCTTTTGTTTTGAGGTCATTGCAGAAGGACCTCAATGAGGCAGCCAGGTGATCATTCCGATGTGCGGAAAGAATAACGTCTTCCATGTTTACGGACTTACGACCAGCATGCTGTGCAAATAATTCTAGGTCTTTTGATAGCTGTTCTGCAAACTTGAAGGCTAAATCAGATATACATGTGATGATCGGTTGAGAAACCTCCATACCGCATTGTTTCGCCTCACCTTCAGCAATGGAGATGGTGCATAATCGGAATCGATCTCGGAGTAAGTCGGTCACAGCTTCTTCCTCTTCTCTCTCTACATCACTTGCCATTCCTCCGTCGAGATCCTCCATTGTAGGAGAATTGTTTAGCATATCGCACTTGCCGATTGCGAAGGATGCGCGGGAAACAGGACGGTCTAATTGAATCTTCGGAAAAAGAAGAAGAAGCTGCTTGTTATGAATGGGCCGAGGCCTGTTATACCAAAACAGCCCAATACCATATTAAGGGGTTATGCATGGGATCCAAGTTAATAAGTAGCACATTCTAGGGGAAATAGGGTTAAGCAAATTGTTGAGTAAAGAGCGTTCTTATCTTTATCTTTTAGTTACTTGTAATTTCATCATAATTCCATAGTTTGAGTATTGTAATAGTGCTTCAGTTCTTATTAATATAGTGAGAATTTCGGGTTTGTTACACTGCTTGAGACGTTAGGCTTGAGAAGGGGAAGTGCGTGAAGGTTGTGGCTCGACGCGCCGTCATTGCTGCCAATGGAGTTGCCATGGCAAAAAGTAATAACTTTTCACAAACCAAAATGTCTCAAATGGAATAAGTTAGTGATGTCCATAATTACTTTTTTTTACCCTCAATTAATTACTTTAAAAAAAATAGAATTTTTTAAAAATCCTAAATTTTTAATTCATCCCGTTCATAATTAATAGGGATAAAATAATAAAATCACTATTTCAAATTGTCAATTATTGTTTTCTTAATAGGTGTGTCAATTCAAAAGTGGACAAATAATTAGGGACAGAGGCAGTAAAATGGATTTATCGACCAAAATGTTTTTTTTTTGTTTTCTCTTTTCCCTTTTTCACTTAAAAACACTATCATGAATGAAATAATAAGTACTCCCTCTATCCCTAATTACTTGTCCATTTTAACAAATCAAGAAAGAATAATTTTTTTTACCGATTAAACCCTCAATTAATTACTTTGAAAAAAAGTAAAACTTCTTGAAAATCTTAAATTTTTAATTCACCCACTTCATAATTAATAGAGATAAAAATGGTAAACTCACTATGTCAATCATTGTTTTCTTAATAGGTATATCAATTCAAAAGTGGACAAGTAATTAGGGACAGAGGGAGTATATTAGTCTATCTTTTAATTTTTATTTTTTTTTAAAATAGTTCCTTCACTCGTAAAATTTCACTATATATGTTGTTGTTCCTCCACGAGATAATAGTAAGATTTGCATACAATATATCCTCGTCAGACCTCACTTAGTGAAATTTTCACTAACTATGCTATTGTTATTATTAAAAAAATAAGTTATGGTAATAAGTACTCATACTTTTAACAACATATTGGTTAAAGTTCATAATATAAAAATCTCACATTCGTGAAATGAAAAATATTATATATAACGAATAAAATATAATTCAATTATGTTGATGTGATTAATTGTGAAGGAATTTAAACATATTAACGAGCAACATTCCCTAGTTAGATCAATATGTAATAAATTCAGTTCACGTAATTGAGTGCTCTTTTCAGGGTTGGAGGAAGAATTAAGCGCAGTTATAGGACTTCTTTGTGGTATGGCAGCAGTAGCAAAGAGAAAAGTTACTCACTCTACTTTATTAAGAAAGGGAGCAGTGAGAAAGGAATGACTATCATACCGAAATAAGACTAATAAAGTAAGATACCGAAACTCAAATTTTAAAAAAAATAGTAATGAATGATTTGACAATATCAAAAATAACAATTAAGCCATTTGTAACGTAGACTTATATTTTGCATTTTTGATAATTTGACATATATGAAAAGTGTGTAAGGAAAAAATTTGAAAGAAGTATGTACTTAGGACTTATATAATCTCCTATGTACTAATTATAATTACTAGGTGTAGAGAAAGATAGATTTACATTTTGATAAATTTAGAAGCAATTATCTTTCAGTAACCGACCATAGCTCAGTTGGTAGAGCGGAGGACTGTAGTGGGCAAAGCCTATCAGCTAATCCTTAGGTCACTGGTTCGAATCCGGTTGGTCGGATTTTTGTTTTTTATAATACAACAATTTTTGAATATGCAATCAACTTTATTTCCCCCTTTTTATTTTACTATAATCGAAGTTATTAAATTAATTTTTATAACAAAAACATTATTGGTTTTCAAGTTGTATTACAAAAGGATAAACTATGGTCAAAATAACATTATTTTGCAATCACTAACTCAAAAAGAAGTGAAGAAAAAGAGTGGCAACCTTTGCCAAACTATAATTGAAGTTAAGCTACCACTAAAAATTATGATGGGACGGATATGATCTCTTCACTCTTAATTTGAGGTTTTGGATATGAAAAAAGTTCCCGTTAAAAAGGTTTCCTCCTTTGATGAGTCTTACGCAACACAAATCTGAATTAATTGAAGTTCCAATACGAATACCTAATTAGATGGCCACACCACTATCTTCACGCTTGCACTAAATTAATTTGTGTACGTCACTAATATGCATACAGTTGATAATCAACAAAGTAACACTACTCTTGCTCCTGCCTCCAGAAAGTTGAATATGTTTATGTTAAGAAGTTTACTAAATATGTACAAATATTAAATTTAGAATTCAGATATTAACACTTGAAACTCGTCGTTCTCAGACTCAGCACTCATAAAATTGAAATTCTGACTCCGCCTCTCTCTGACGGTAAATCCTTGAGCATTGTCTTCTGAGATCAAATGATTAAACATATACCATTCTCTTCTCTTTTTTTCAGTGCTGTTCTTGTTGCTGTCTTAATTGGATAATGCTGCATATTAAATACCTTTCTTGACTCTGCCAATACAAAACACAGTAAAGATTTGCAAAGAGAACTCAAATGCTAATCTTATCAAGTTATGTTGAACGTACTAAAATGTTCTTTAATCTTGTGATCTTAAACATGTCACGTGGAAAGTTGAAACTAAAGAATTGCCATAAAACAGAAATGAACATTCTTTTTGAAATAGACTAAAAAGGAAAGTAAGACAGACAAATTGAAACGTAAGGAGTATATATATCATATGAATTAAATAAGTAACTTTGTATAATGCAAGCAATGGAGTTGATTAATTCTATAAATTGAGAAATTAACCTCTAGTATAGAAATGTTGTTGAAAAGCTCCAAGCATTCTTCTAACAACAACTTCTCTTGTACAACTACCTCTGCCATGTCCTTCATTACTTCCGCAGTTTTTTCAGCCTGATCGAAAATTTCAAACAAGTTAAACTACCTCGTATAAACTTTTATATTGTCAGCATATATAAATTAAATCCGAGACAATATAAGCAATGCTAGAAACTAGAGCAACCAAAATCTTACTCCTGATGAGAAATTGGATAATCTCAACGTGATCGATGTAGATACATCTGATGCATGTTGAAGAGCAATAATAGCCGATTGTGGTTCCACCTACAGGCTTAATCTTGTCAGTGAAATGCTCTGTGGCATATACGTAGCCACATAAAGTGAAGGGTGGTTAGTTGAACATCATCCATCGGAAAATTATAACATATACAAAAATTATAGTATATACAGTTCAAAAGTTACTTTTTAGACATGTTCGCCATTGGACTTACCGTTGCTCCTTCAATGAGAGGAACCCTACAGACTGCAGACTGTAAGCAATCCAGGGAATTTGACACTGCTGAAGAATGTTGCCTTTCAATAGAACCCCATGCTTCTAGTAACTTTATCTGCACAATACATCGAAAAAATCATATCTTTAATTGTTGTGATGGTTTTTGTTACTGTCTGACCAATATTCGTCAAGGTTAAATTAGTTCTTACTTGAGAATGAAGAACAAAACTCAATTTCATTTCCATGTTTTGCCTCTGTAGCTGCAACTTTTTTTGTACCACAGATTGTCTCATTTTTATTAGACCATCCCAAGCATATACTAAGTTTGCCTAAGAGAAAAACCAAATAAACAAGGTCAAAATTATTTTTTATAGATAATATATTAGTAAAATTCCTGACTCCGCGACTGACCTCAGCTTGTCTACTGATATTGTGATGGACTGAATCAGCTCTGGCATTTACATATCTCCACTGCAACAATTTATTATGAAGTATCCTTAAATGATGAACGCTCTCCGTCGTGCCTGGCCTAAGAGGAGATGCTGCACCAGAAGAAAATTTCTTACCTTTAAGCAATTCAAGCCCCATGCTAAGGAAATTCCCAACACTTTTCCCCTTAGAAGGACTCGTAGGGGGCTTCATATTCGACGTAAAAATCCCTCTATTTTCCATCAATACAGGAGGCGAATTCGGTCTTCCAGGAGACAAAGCCCATTTAGAAGTTTTACTGTTAAGTGAAGTAGCAGCCCTTTGTATTGGATTCTTGAATTTGAGTCCTAATTTCGGAGACTCTGGCTTTGGAACACTGCAATCTGAACTCCATCTTCGCGATTTTGATAACGAATCTTGCATATACTTCGATGGAACTTCAATACCAGACTTTCGTGAACTTAATGTTGGTGCCATATATGATGGTGCACCAATATTTCTCCCAAAAACAGGGGAATCAAAACTGTTATTTGAACAAATTTCACTGTATTCGGATTCCGATTCATTTGCTATATCAGATAAAATATCTGATCTAATTCTTGCTGAATTACATCTTCTTCCAAGCAAATTCGCATCAACAGAAAATCTTCCAGACGCAATCTGGCCACTATTACCATCCGATAAATTCGAAGATTTCGATGAATTAGTCGAAAATCTCCCTGGAAACTTGATTTTTCCAGATCCACCAAAAAACGATCTTCTTTTCTCCTTCTCTTTCGTTCTTTCGTTCTCATTCTCAAATCTACTAAACCCCGTGCAGCTCTTTTGCTTATTTAAAAACAGGGGATGAGAATTTGAATTTGAAATTTCGCGATTTTTTCGCTCTTCAACGTCTTTTAATCTCTCATTTCCTAAGTGATTACCAAAAGTATCCATGATTGAACTTGGAGAAGAAGAAGACGGCCAAAGCTTACCCATTAATCCCGATTTCTCGAAACTTTTATGCTTATTATAATCAGTAGATGATCTTGTTTTCGGTACTATACTTTCTGGAGACTGATTTTTATCATCAAAAATTGAAGAATTCGAAGTTGGAGACAAATATCTTGAACTTACTTCTCTAGATTTCGTTTTTTTTGGCTTCAATGAATCACCAAATCCAATATTTTCATAGTTTTCCTTCATAGTAACAAACAAAATTAGCAACAAAACAAACAATAATCTCACAAAAGCAAAAAATATAAAAAAAAATTGTTTGTTAGAGAAAATGAATGAAGCTAAAAACAAATACGTAAAATGTGGCGGCAACTTAGATGCTTAAGCCGGTTTCTAGTGAAAATATGAAGAAATATATGTTGTGAAGTTACGAAAAAGGGTTTTATATTGGGGATTTTGGTGAGAAGGGAAAGGGTAGTTTTGGGTTTTTAGATATGGAAAATGAAAAAATTGAATGTTAGTTGACTTGGATAGAGTTCTTAAGAAAACAAATGACATAGATAAGGATTATGTTTTGAGGTTAAGAGAAATTAATATTTAATTTTTTTTAAAAAGGAGTGTTGTTTGAGGATTCTGTTTGATTAACTTAGCCGGCATTTTTAGAATTAGCATAACATGGTGCCACTTGGTGGATTTTAAGTTTGGGATTTAACACATGGTATATGATGTAATTAAGTTGACGTTTGATTGTAGATTTAAATAGATTCAGGAAATCTATTTTAAAAAAAGATAATTAAGTTTCAAAAACTGAGTACAAACTAATTTTGAGGGGAAAATTTACTTCTACTTTCAAAAGTTCTGACTTTTTAAAAATAAAATGTACATTCAAACACAACTTTCAAGTTTCAAAAATCACAAACTTCAAAAAGTCCAATTTTCAAATTTCAATTTCATATTTTATGACCAAATGGAAGTTAAGAAATTTTTTCTTAGTTTAGAATAATTTTCTTCCTAAGGACCTAAAAAAAAAAAATAGTTTAGTGTCTGAAGCATTTCACATTTATGGATGGGTTCAGAATAGGGTTGCTCCCACGAAAAAGTATACTATAAATAGTCTATTCCAATGCAAATACTAATGACTAATTTCATAACTAAATCCTTGACTAATAAATCACATAGAGATAATCTTATCGTTGCTTACCGCCTTTGTCACTAACCCATAGGCGGCCTAATAGGGTAGATAATACTCCCTCCATTTCATATTAATTGAATTTTTGAGGTGTTTCACACCCTTTAAGAAAAGTAGATTAAGACATAAATTGAACATAGTTTTCCATTTTTACCCTTATTAATTATTGTTAAATTTATTGAAGTCATCACATTGAAAATCCAAATGAAGGGTACAAGAACACTGTAAAAGTAGTCTTGAAAACTGAACAATTAAGTTAATTTGAAAAATTGAAAATGCCTCGAAAATTCAATTAATATGGAATGGAGGGAATAGTTTTATAGGTAAACAAGGAACATTGATTATTCCCATAACACCAATAAATAAACAAATAAACCTTTTGAAATTTATATAAAAATGTTAAATTAATAATTAGCTTAATATAATCGTAGTTACATCACATATTCAAGGGTAAGTAAGTTTGTAACTTGTGTTCTAGATAAAGTTAGTTTATATAGAAGCAAACTTAAATATTTCTTAGTTCCATACTTCAAAGTTAACCCCCCCACAAAAAATGAAACAACCAACAACAATAAAAAACACAAAGACATATTTAGGAAAAAAAAATAAAGCGCCGCTGCCGGGGATCGAACCCGGGTCACCCGCGTGACAGGCGGGAATACTTACCACTATACTACAACGACCTTGTTGCTTGTTAAATTATTTAAGTTTAATTCATTCGTTATCCTCCAAATCATTTTCCAAGACCTAATACAAAACATAGGATAGTGTGGTAAAATACCTACATAAATAATTATTTTCTTAATCGGTGTGTTAAGTCAAACAGTAACAAGTAAAAATGAATGGAGTCACGGAGAGAGTATATATATGGTTAAAAGTATCTTAGAATATTTGTCAAAGTTCGTGTATTTAAACTCTCGAAAAGAAAAAACACGATAATTATTTTGGAACGGAGGGAAAATAAACTCTTAATGGGGTTCTTATTCTAATCGTTACTAAATGTATGAGTCAATCCTATCTCATTTATCATAAATGTGTTTAAGAGTTTGTATACTGAATTGGAATAGGAAAAGCCCTTTTGAATACATTAAAATTATTATGGGAAATAGGGTGGCAAGTCAAACAAAAGTCTTGTTCAAAGTGTAAGTTATTGGTTTCCTTAAGAGGAGTCAATTGTTTTAAACGCATGCCATAATTATCATTAAACTCATACTTAATTATTAATGACTCTTGTATAAGTAATTAATACACAATTAATCAAATCTCATTCATTTTCTTGAAACTAAACATACCATATAAAGATCCTTCTCAATGAAACAGTTTCACTACAATTCTCAAATCATACCATTATAGGACACATAAAACGCTTCCTAACAAAAGACGACTCAGACTCCAACTATGGGAAATAATAGCAATGAAGCTTGTGACACCAGGCTCACACTTGGACTTGCCACAAGTGATCATCATAAGAAAATTACATGTCTAGATCTATCAATTATTCCTCTTCATGACACCAGCAAGATTGATGGATCTAGCTCAAAAACTTGTAAATTTTTTAGCAAATTTAACAGTGAAAGCAAGAAGATTGGCATGAGAAAGAAACTGAGGCTTACTAAAGAACAATCCACTTTGCTTGAAGACAGTTTCAAACAGCACACTACACTCGCAATGGTATCGTTAAATGTCTTTATGGATTTAACTTATATACGCTGACAGGCTAAAGAAATCTTACACTATTGGTGTATGTCTAACCTGATGCAGGGTCAGAAACAAGAACTTGCAGCAAAATTAAAACTCAAACCAAGGCAAGTAGAAGTTTGGTTTCAGAATAGAAGAGCAAGGTAATTAAAATCTTATTTACTATATCTATTTTATTACTATATAACAATTCTTATTTTTTTTCTTCTTCTTTGATTCTAAATATGTGTTATAAAGGACTAAACTGAAGCAAACAGAAGTAGACTGTGAGTTCATGAAGAAATGGTGCCAGAGTCTGAATGATGAAAATAATAGGCTAAAGAAAGAGTTGCAAGAGCTAAGATCAATCAAGATTGATCAACGGGCGACGCCGTTTCATCTTTCCAAGACTAGGACACTGGCTCTGTGTTCATCATGCCAGAAAATTTCAAGAGGTGACACTGATGAAAAACATGAAACAGGGCTGGAAAGGGGCCAGTGATGGAATGTCCAAAAGAGCAAATTGAAACAAAAATCTTGTTTATGGAAAGAAGAAATAATAGCCCATCATTTACCACAAAGTTGTTATTTAAAACAAAGCATGACATGCTAATATAGATATTCAATCTTACAAACATGAAATGAACCTTTATGTTTCTTATATTCCTCTAGTTCATCTATGTTTGGTTGATAATGTATAGTACAAGCTTTTAAAATCTGCTTATTTCGGAAAGTGCTTTTCGAAAAATAGCAGATAGTGTATGGTAAACCAATTTGAAAAACACATTTGTCAAGATTAGAGTAGAATTTGTGCTTGGCCAAAATTTCAAAAGTGCTTCCAGAGAAAAGCTCTGATACTTCCAACTTCTGAAAAATTACTGCTAGTACTCAAAAGTACTTATGCTTTCTCTAAAAGCTTGGCCAAACACCTCGACTCTCTAAAATAAGCACTTTCAAAAAGAAGCAGCAAAAACACTTCTGGTTTCAAGAAACTTGGTTAAAAAGAATAGTTTTGTAGAATATTTTTATGAAATGCATCAGTGTATGTATGTAATACATGTAAAAAAATTCTGAAAATTAGTAGTAGAAAACTGAACAAATAATAGAATGCACATGAATCTACCTTTCTCCTCTACTAGGTACTCATGTAAATGAAATTTCACAGAAAAACTTTATAACATCCAACAGGAAAACCGTTCAACAGTTATTACAGAAAATGCAGGAAACTGTGTCCACAGCACAATTCATTGTGCATATTGTTATCAGGAGTTTTACAACTTATAACAATAACAGCTAACTGTTTATTGCAAGAGAGTTCCCAGAAACAAACTGTTCAAACTAAAAGCATCTAATTAAATACGTCTGAAGGGTTCACCTCAGTAGAAGAACACTGCAGCAGCGGCAGAGGCTTTTGGTGCATTCAGAAGCCTCTCTTTATATTCACGAGCCTTATCAGACTTGAGACTATTTGGGTCAGAGGTTTCATGAGCCTTATCAGATGTAAGACTATTTGGGTTAGAGGTTTCATGAGCTTTATCAGACGTAAGACTGTTTGGGTCAGAGGTTTCAGGAGCCTTATCAGACGTAAGACTATTTGGGTCAGAGGTTTCATGAGCCTTACCAGATGTAAGACTATTTGGGTTAGAGGTTTCATAAGCCTTACCAGAGGTTTTCTTTTTTGCAAATATCTTCATTTTCTGTAACACCATGGAATGCCCGAGCAAATATTCCAGAAACTGAATCATCTGTCTCTCCATTACGAAGCCAGCTACCTCCACCGTCTTGAGGTGATCAATCAAGCACTGGACAGGAACATCTACCATACTCCGATATTCACCAGCATCAAACTCATATAGGTGAATCCAGGAGAGTGCGTTCTAAAATAAGCACAAGAGAAAATCTCCACATTAAGAGTTGTACCAACCCAATAATAACAGACACTGAATAGGACTAAAAAATACAAATTGCTAGGGTAACACAAGATGAGAACACATCTAGATTACTGTCAAACAATATATATAAAACCATACAAGTTCTGAAAATTAAGTTTCCACCTTAAAAACTGTTGTTTATCTTTTGGAGAAGAAAATAGAATTAGAAAACATGATATCCCAATCATACCTAATCTGGTTAGTGTACTGTCCAAACAAACATTGCAAAGCACAGATAGCAACAAGAGCAATAAAACAATTAAAATTTGTCATACGTAGGGTGTAAATCCATCGTAAGAAGTAATTTCGATGATAAGATTCTCCAAGCAAGGACAGTGCTTCAGCAAGTTCAGTATTCCTGGTAGGTGCCATATCACAAAATCCAATTGAAGATGAAGGGATTTGCAGCTGAAGGTAGGAGATGGTAGATTGTTCAACTGCCACACAGAAAATGCCTAGGCAGACAAAAATTAAACATAAGAGTTCAAGAAACAAAATAAATAGTGATTTTTGTATTGATCTTAATGAACAAGGATTTGTACTGACTACCACAGGGTAAGTAACAAAAGCCTTAAAAAGCTGATTGCACAATGTACATGAAATATCGACAGATGCCTGAGTCTGAGACGTTAAAGACAAAACCCAACACCATAACCCCTCTAATCCAGTTTATAGTTAGTATATCACCCTAAAGGTTATCTTTCAATAGAGTCAGGAATCTTAACTATACCTGGAGAAGTTATGAAGAAAGAGAAAAAGTGTGTACCAGAGCAAGCCAGGAGCATAGCTTCAGAGTTTTGGCCCTGCTAAATGTTTGGAGGAATATTCTCAAATTTTGGTAATTATTGTCCTCATTGAAGTCAAATATTAGATTACGCTTGACAGATACTTCAGCAATAGATGCTACATTTGCAATATCCAGCACCTCCACAGCTCCAGACATATCGAATGATAGGAGAGTTGGACAGGAGACATGTATCCTGGGTTGAAACCATCTAATGTCAAGCTTCAATGTCTTTAAATTTGAATTGAGCAGAACCACTCTTCTACGGCAATAGCAAAGCTGCAGCGTCAATTCCTCAAGCATCGGGCAACCAGATAGAATATAATTCATTGACTGATCCATTAGCATAACATTATCAAGATATAATGTTTTTAGAGACTTGAGCTCACTCTTCCTTTTTAAATTTATCTTACAGTATGTCAACCGGAGTTCAACCAAATGAGGGCTGCTTAGAACACAACTAGGCAGATCATAAAAAGCTTGTGGCTGATCTGTACCATGCTCATAGAAAGACAAGTCAAGGACCTCCAAATTCTTATTTAGTGCGAACTGGATCCAGGCACCAATTTCATTAGCCATCCTTTTCTCACTCCTCAGGAAATCATAATGCCATATGTCTGTTCTGCCGGATGTTCTTTGCCAAAATTCATAAAATGATCTAAAATGAAACTTAAGGCAGAACTTATGAATAGTTGGGCCCTTATGAAGAAGAAGCACATGACGAACAAAGTTAACATACTTCTCATCATAGATTGGGCGACTAGCTCGAGCATAGCAGTCACATATGTGCCCCGGCCACATGCATTGATCGAAATTGAGTGTCTGGATGAATGGCCAGAGGTGATGAAATCTTCTAATTAACATTGTGTTGACAACATCCTTTGATGGCAATAAGGAGAGAATATAGATGAGGATGGCATCTGGTAGTCCACTGAAGCGGTCTTCGTTAAAAACACAGCTTCTTTGTTTTGCAGACATATTCATTTCTGTAAAACATCACAACACATTTTAGGTGCGAAAAATTGAAAACTATGAGCTGAAGAAAATCTTCAGCCTTAAATTGGGATATTCAGAAAGAACAGTTTTTTTCCAGATTGAGGATTAATCTATAGAGAGTGACTGGCATATGTTATTCCTACAAACCAAGAAGAAGGGAACAAAACCTTTCATCCCCTCAAGTTAATCAGATTGAGGAAATCCTAGGGTGCATCAATCTCAGCATATCAAATTTCCATTTAGAGATGACAGTTCATGATGATAAGGCATAAGATCAAACATATTAGGAAGTTTTTTGAAGTAATTAATCATAAAGTTTAAATTGAAAAGAAGTTCTAAGACAAGAAAATACAATCTTAAATTTAATAACTTTCTAAGAGTAATCACTTATATAACAAACAAGTGTAAACTCAACTATCTCTTACACAAAACATCAAAAGGATACAACAACTACGTCTCAGCCCCAAACAAGTTGAGGTCAGCTATATGTAGTATCCTACAACAACATACCCAATCCCATAAGTGGGGTTTTACCCCTATCTTTGTGGATAGAGAGGTGGTTTCCAATAGACCCCCGGCTCAAGAAAATCATTTCCCAGAACGGGTTTGAACAAAACAAAAGATAGCCAAAGTAAAAGTGACAACAATAGTAATAGAAATGAAGAATAAGATAATGCTAGCATAATAACAATATTGTTAAGTATATAGGTGCTCCAGCCTAGATCCCTGCTCTACCACTAGGAAGAGGTCGCTCGACTACCAACTAACAGTCTACATTAATCCTCGACCTCCATGCTCTCCTATCTAGGGTCATGTCCTCAGTGAGCTGAAGATGTGACATGTCTTGTCTAATCACCACTCCTCAATTTTTCTTCGGTCTACCTCGACCTCTCCTTAGACCTATCATTTTCAACCTCTCGCACCTTCTTATTGGGGTATCTGTGCTCCTCCTCTTCACATGCCCAAATCATCGCAGTCTCACTTCGAGCATCTTGTCTGCCATGGATGTCACCCCCACCTTGCCCTGTATATCTTCATCCCCTATCGTATCTCTCCTAATATGCCCACATATCCATCCAAGCATCCTCATTTCTGCTACTTTCATCTTCTGAACTTGAGAGTTCTTGACTGGCCAACACTCAACTCTGTACAATGTACAACATAGTTGGTCTAACCACCACTCTATTGAGCTTACCTTAAAGTCTCACTGAAACATTCTTATCACATAAGACACCAAATACGAACCTCCATTTCATCTACCCATGTTCTAATATGAAGTGTGACATCCTCATCGATCCTCCATTTCCTTAGATAATAGACCCAAAATACTTAATTCTTCATTTGAGTTCATATCATATCATCATAATTAATAAAATAAAAGTAAAAAGTACGCTAAATATATATAACTGATACTAATAATAACTTTTAAAACATCTAAAGGATGCCGCTTAAAAAAATTTCAATGGAAAAAGAAATGTATATGCACACACATCAAAGGCATTGACCTAAAAGACAAACAAACAGTTCATAAACCAAACAATGACAAAGGCTTGCGAAACTGAGTAGGGGCCTTTTCTTTTTGTTTGAATAACCCATTGTCACTACCTTTAATAAGTAAAGTAGGCAAACACATAGGTCATTAGCAGTATTGACAAAGAAGAAGGAGCTGTTGAAAAAAAAAAGAAGCAAATATTTCCATTTTTCTTATATAATAAAATAAATTAGAAAGAAATTTATTATTATTATTATTATTATACATATATAGGCTAGCTTGACAAGCAACCTTTCCTCTTGAAAAGCTTAACAAGTCTCTAGTATCTAACCTAAAAAATATCATCAGAACTCATGGACCATTATGTAGCGATGTAGCTCATATTATAAAGTTACATAACTACATTTTCATTTCGAGGTCCAAAAATTTGAAAACAACATAGAAATCCAGATTTTCTATTCTGAATGGCACCTAACAAGAGTTAACCTGCACACAGATGCGATATGTGCATGAGATGTATACCAGTTTCTGAACAGATCTCTTTGCTCTTAGATCAGTAATGGCACATACTTGCACATATTTAGACATATCGATAATTTGTTGCCTAGAAAGAGCCACTATTCAAAATAGTATACGAGCACAAACCAAAATCTCATATATCGCATGGAGCTTACAGTAGATCTGTTAAAATGTGTGACCATCTTATCTAAAAACTTAAGTTGTTAAAGAGAGCACACTTTTATTATGTAATTGTATTCTCAACACGCCTCCTCACGTGCGGGCCAGATTCTTTTTCATTAGTCAAGCACGTTGAAATTCTTTTTTGATATGGGTGGTGGTGAGATTCAATCTCAGGACCTCTGCCTACTCTGATACAATGTTGAAGTGTGTGACCATCTCATCTAAAAGTTTAAGATGTTAGAGAAAGCACACTTTTATTATGTAATTGTATTCTCAACACGCCTCCTCACGTGCGGGCCAGATTCTTTTTCATTAGTCAAGCACGTTGAAATTCTTTTTTGATATGGGTGGTGGTGAGATTCAATCTCAGGACCTCTGCCTACTCTGATACAATGTTGAAGTGTGTGACCATCTCATCTAAAAGTTTAAGATGTTAGAGAAAGCACACTTTTATTATGTAATTGTATTCTCGACAAGATCCAAACCAAATTTTAACCGAAAATGGGAACAAGACAAAATTTAACTATCTTAAAAGCAGAATATTTGGGTATTTTATACCTAGAAAAGAAAGGATCCCAAGATATGTTGGTAATAGAAAGATGCAATACAAGTTGAATCAAAGAAAGATTCTCATTTCCAGATTCAACATGTCAAAGAGGTTGCAGGTTCAATTCTTGCTCACATCAATTTAAAGGGAGGTGTGTACTTAAATGTATTCAACATAATGGAAAGGGAAAATGCTCTCTGAAAACCTATCTCCCAACCACCATGAATGGCCTTATCAGCCAGCGGCCAACCCTACCCAAATTCCGAAGCTGGTCTTCCCACTACAGCAATCCATTCCCAAACGCCAACACCAATGCCTTCAATTATGCTGATGTTTTGCACAATACCCTGCTACAACAAGAGGAAGAGCCTACGATTATCAAACCAATCACCTTCTTGCATGGCGAACCAACGACAATGTGGACCACAAAGGAATTCGATAGATTAATTGTAAGGCTAAATTTACAATTCGCATTGGTAGCAAAATTCTCCTATGGCCATACAGTTTTATATGAGTTGAGGAAGGCAATTCCAATTCAATTTGGAGATCAAGGGACCATGTAATATTGGTTTTCGAGAAGATAGACACATTTTGATAAGACTTTCCCGACTGGAGGACTATGCGACGTTAATGTCCAAAGCATGTGAATTAAGAGTAAGGAATATATATTAGCCATTGAGGTTTTTGAAGTGGGATCCTTGGTTTAACCCAGAGGAAGAAACAACCATTACAATTGCATGGATATCAATCCTAGGATTGCCTACAAACCTATTTGACAAAGAATTTATGTTCTCTATTGGCAAACGCAGTGGGTAAACCCCTAGTGATTGACAAAGCCACAAATAACCAAACTAGACTTAGTTGTGTTCAGGTGAAAGTGGAAGTCGATCTACTCAAAGAAATTCTTAAGAGAATCCAAATAAACCGTGTAGAAGAAGACACCGAAACAGTGAGATCTAAATGGCAGAGAATTCAGTATGACCATCTCCCGAAGTATTGCACACATTGTAGACTCCAAGGCCATGATATGCAAGGATGTCGGATGTTACATAAACAAGAGGATAAGAAGAAAACTTTCAAAGACAAGGCAAAGGGTGAGGAAAATAAAGAGAATCAATCAACTAGCGCACCAAAGTTGAATGGAGTTTACAAGAATGGAAGATCAATCCATCATAACTGGAATGTGGTTCAAAATAGGAAGAATAAGGGCAAGCAACAAGAACTCACCCAAAAGGAACAAGAGGAAAGACAAGAACAACACAAAGTTAATCAGCTGACCAATGATATAAAAGGGAAAGCAGCTAGTAATACTAACAAATATGAGGCCCTTGTAGACCATATAGAGGACAAACAGGAAGAAGGAAAAGAGATGACAAAGGAAGCTCCGCATGACAACAATTCTAAAAGGAAGAAGACAACAAAGCCATGGGTAGAAGCATCTTTTGGAAAAATAGAGACATAAAACGTTGCGGCAAATAAAGGACAGAAAGAAGAGGCAACAAAGATAACAGACAAGCAAATACAAAACCCAATCAGAGTTATTTAATCTCAGTGTTTTGGAGAGCGAGAAGCAAAAAAAAAAAAGAAGCGACAAGGGCTAGCTTCACCGAAGCGAGATGCGTGAAGCGAAGCGCACACCTTTTTCAACTAAAGCGCTATTTAGTACAAAAACAAAAAATATCAAATATGCATAGATAAATAACCAAAAATTCAATAGAAATAACATATTTAGCAAATCTTTCAATCCTTAAATAAAAAAGTAAATATAATTTACTACCAAAAAAAAAGAAAGGAACAGTGAAAACAGAGACGGAACAACAAAAAAAATATAAAACAGAGGGAAAATTGCAGAATATGGACCAAAAACAGAGCATAACAGAGAAAGCAATACAAAGCAGAGAAAAAAAATAATTGTGAAACTGAAAGAAAAAAAACAGAGAAGATTATATTGCAAAACAGGAAAAAACAAAACAGGGAAAATTGCATACTGCAAGTTGGAAAAAACACAGTTGCCAGAGAAACAAAGAAAAGAAGAAGAGATGAAAAACTTAACTTGCAGTCACTTTAAAGAGTGTCACAACAAGAGAAGTGAAATAGAGGGAAATGTTTGGAAAGAAGGCAAAAAGTGTTTTACGAAATAAAAAAAAAGCCCTCGTTCTGTCGACCTCACTTAAGCAGAAAAGCGAGAAAAATTCTCGCTTTTACTGAAGTATCGCTTCTCGCTTCTGGGACTGAAGCGCTTGCTTCTTTACCATAGCTTCGCTTCACTGCCAAAAAGGATACAGCTTCGCTTCACTTTGCTTCTCGCTTTATGCAATGGAGCGCTCACTTTTAATAACACTGTAATTAATCTACTACAAACACTTCCACACAACCCATAAACAATCAAGAGACACAAGGCTTACAACATAATTCACAGGAAAAAAATCAGAAAATATGGAGAATCAAAGCATACAAAACAATAATCAAAACATAGACCAATACCAGCAAGTTCAGAAAGCACAGGAGAGATGCACACCCCCCAAAGAGCCTCCAGATGACAACCAGCCAACAACACAGGAAGAACAGGAATCTGCAGATTCAATAGAGACAGGTACATCAGCAGTGACAGACACAATTCAGGGTAATCAGGACAATGCCAACAGCAAAAGATAAAATACAGAGACAACATCAGAAGAAAAAGGGGAACAAGAAGAAGATCATGAAAAAGAGGCAGATATTGGAGATGATGATTATCCAAAACACTCTGTAGATACAATACAGACAAACAACAAAAGAGATTTATCTCCTAGACAGATTGCTAAGGTAAAGAAGGAAAGGAAAATCACTAAAAGCAGAGATAAAGTGTACCTCCTAAAAAAGGTATACTAACAAGGACAACCCTCGCCAAAACCAATTCTCAATGAATTGCTCACTTATATGGAATATAAGGTCTGTTAGTACACAACAGGCTTTTGAAAGAGTAGTGATATTGAGCAGACAAAAACACTTCAACATCACAGCTTTACTGGAACCATTTCAACATCATAGGAACATTGACATGTATAGACTATGGCAAAATATAGGAACAACCTGCCATAAATTGAAGGGGGAAATATGGCTCTTTATAGAAGACAGATTCCAGATGGAAGTGCAAATTGATACAAAACAATCGTTATCCTTAAAACTCACAGACAATGATGATGGGCAAGAAACACAGGTTACAATAGTGCATGCCAGTACTAATAGACACACACGAATTGCCTTGTGGGATGACTTACATGATATTGCAACAAACATGACTCTTCCACGGGTAGTAGTAGGAAATTTCAATATGATAACAGATGATATGGAGAAGCTTGGGGGTCTACCAGCTCAATACAATGAAACTAAAGATTTCATTCATTGTATAAACACTTGTCAACTAGCAGATTTGGGTTTCGAAGGAAGCATGTACACTTGGTGGAATGGAAGAACAGATGCAAGTTGCAACTTGCATTTTTTAAAGACTGGATAGATGCTTGGGTAATCAAGCTTTACAAAATCTATTCCCCAACTTGGAAGTAGAACACCTCACTAAGCAAGGGTCTGATCATTCTCCATTAATCTTAACAACCAAATCAGAAGACAGTCCAATCAGGAAAACATTCAGATTTTTGAACTTTTGGGTGGAGCATGAGACATTACAGAAAATAGTTGAAGACAATTGGCAGGAAGTGCACAGTTCTGACCCTTTTTCAACTTTCATAATAAGCTGAAGAAGGTGAGTAGAGCATTATCAAAAATGGAGTAGGGATACATATGCAGACATCTTCAAACAGATAGCCACTTTGGAGGAAGTGGTGCAGGTTCATGAAAAGGAATTTGAGACACACCCAACGAACACAAACAGAGAAAAACTGCAGAAGGTACAAGCAAATCTAATCAAGTTCTATACAGTGGAAGAAAATTTCTGGAAACAAAGGCAGAAATGCAATGGTTTGCAGATGGGGATAGAAATACTAAATTTTTCCACACATATGTTAATGGAAAAAGGAGAAGATTGAAGTCACAGAGAATACAAGATGACAGAGGAGTGTGGCTGGATAGTGAGGAGGGCATCGCACAGGAAGCTATCAGATTTTATACAGACCAGATAATCTCAATACTAGTTTTGAGATGCTAGAATATATCCCAAGAATGATAACAGATGATCAGAATGCACAGATAATTGAAATGCCAGACAAGGAAGAAATAAAAAATACAGTGTTTGGATTAAATTCAGACATGCAGGAGGACCAGATGAATATACAGGAAAAAGATCTCAGGCTTGCTGAAACATAATTGCCAAAGCTATGACAAAGATGGTGAAGTCATTTTTCTGTGTCCATGAAGTACCAAGGTACATAACCTGTAAAATCTAGTATTAATCCCTAAGAAGAAAGACATCACTACTTTTTCAGACTTGAGACCTATTAGCTTAAGCAATTTCACTAGCAAGGTTTTCTCCAGAATCATTCATGATAGATTGGTAAAGCTCCTTCCTACATTGATATCTCCACAAGAGTCAGGTTTTTTAGAGGCATGAGTATCGTAGAAAACATCCTACAAGTGCAAGAATAATTCATCATATCAGAATAAGGGAAAAGTCCGCTAATATTGTTATTAAGCTAGACATGACAAAAGCGTATGACAGAGCATCATGGCTTTTCTTGACTAAGGTGTTGAGAAAAATGGGATTTGGAGAGTCCTTGTTTGATATGGTATACAGGATAGTGTCTAATAACTGGTACTCAATACTAGTTAATGGACAACTTCAAAGATTCTTAATCTTCCAGGGGTGTGAAACATGGAGATCCCCTATCACCTACATTATTCAAATTGGCTGCTAAGTGTTTATCCAGAGCAGTAAATGCATTGCACTATAATGATAGATACAAGGAATGTGGAACGCCAAAGTGGAGTCCCTATGTGAATCACCTAGCCAATGCAGATGACACAATTATATTTGCTTCAGCTGACAGGTATTCTTTAGAACTGATTATGAATGAATACTCTAGCAAATTATGAAAAGGTGAGTGGGCAGCTTATCAACAAAGACAAGAGTGCAGTTTTCATGCATCTGACCCTCCAAAGGTTGGTGGAGCAGGTATATTCAGTGACCACGATCCCAAGAAAAGAGTTTCCTTTTACCTATTTGGGAGTACCAATATACTTTAGCAAAAAACAAATATTTTTTACAAAGAATTGCTGGATAAAGTTCAAAATAGATTAAGTTCCTGGACCGGAAAGCTCTTATCCGTAGAAGAAAGGACAACCCTGATTAGATCAGTCCTGCAGAGTGCCATCCATTTGCTATCAGCATGTGACCCCTGCAGTAGTCACAACTCAACTTCACAGACTGTTTGCCAAGTTCTTGAAGCAACTCAGTTGGAAACTCTAGTAGACACAGGGCTACTTGGACAATCTTATGTCATCCACAAGAGGAAGAAGGAATGGGTTTCAAAAGTTTACAAAATGTGTCTAGAGCTTCATTTGCAAAGCTATGGTGGAACATAAGGACTAAAGAATCATTGTGGAGAAGTTACACGACCAACAAGTATCTAAAAATACACAATCTAGTGGTGGTACAAGCCAAGACAGGCACTTACATATGGAAGAAAATGATCAAAGTCAGAGAGGAGATAGAACCTGAAATCTGGTGGTTAATTAAAGAAGGGATTCATACTTCTGGCTAGATAACTGGACAGGAATGGGAGCACTTCATAAACTTATTCCTCCGGGAGTAGATTATGACCAAACACTGATCTTGGTCAAGGATGTGGCAGAAGCAGGACAATGGAATGAACAGTACCTCAGAAATCTACTCCCTCAAAATCTGGTAAGAGTATATCCTTCACAAAATTAACCCACCAAAGGATGAGGAGGAATCGAACAGACCTTATTGGAAGCTGGAATCCACAGGAAAGTTTACAATGACTTCAGCCTTCCATCATATTAGACAGAGACAAGAAGTGAATAAGGTGTACAACTACATATGGACAAAAGGTATGCCTACTAAAATCTCATTTTTTATGTGGAAGCTGTGGAAAGCAAAAGTACCACTAGATGATACACTGAGAAGATGGGGAATTCAATTTCCCTCCAGGTGCTATTGCTGTGAGGACCCTAAGACAGAAAACAGAGCTCATGTGTTCCTACAGTCATCAACTGCCCAAATGGTGTGAAAATATTTCCATGGACCAGCAGGAATGAATACAGAGAACAATGTTATTATTCCAAGTGGTGGGACATAAATGTTCATCCCTAGATTAACTACATATTTCATGCTATTCCTTCTGTAATACTGTGGGAATTGTGGAAAAGGAGAAACACCTTGAGACATGGAGGGAAGATGCCCAGTAACAGATTGACATATAAGATCATGCACACACTGGCTTTATTCATAAAAGTAAAGAGGAGGAATTGCAGAAATGTCCCTAACAATTGGGGTATAATGGTGGAGGCTCTATATACCTACAGTCCCACAGACAAGGTAACCAAAGTCATTTGGAAACCACCTGACACAGGATGGGTTAAAAGTTAATACTGATGGAGCATCTAAAGTAAACCTAGGAAGGAGTTCTTGGGGTTTTTTGCATAAGAGATACCAAAGGGGATGTACTACAGGCACAAGCTAAGGAGATTGAAGAGTTATCCTGTACAAATACACAAGCAGAAGCCATGGCTATTTTACGGGCATTGAAGTACATAGAGACAGCACATTTGGACAGGGTGATTATTGAAACTGATTCTCTACTAATTAAGAATATTGTAGAAAAAACTTGGAAGATTCCGTAGAAAGTGGTGACTACATTGGAGGAGATATGGAAACAGATGCAAGGCAAAACAGATCATAACTCACATTCTCAGGGAAGCAAATAAATTGGCAGACTATATGGCTAACTTAGCACTGGAGAAAGGGACTGTAAAAGTGAACAATTTTTAAGAAATGGAATTTCCAAGGCAGGAGAATTATAAATAGTGACAAGCTACTGGTGCCCTACATAAGAATAAGACTATGCAGAAAGTGAAGGATAGTCAAGAGAAGGAAAAGAAAAAGGATCCTCAAGTTCAAATCCTTCGGGAGGAGAGCTATAAGGATACGATTTACACTAACTGTTTGCTCAATATTGTAGGTATAGAGCACACATGCATCATACATCAAAGAAAAACAGTACACAAGAACCAAAAAAAATCTAAATACATGGTATACAATTTTAATACAAATGAAGGATCAAAAAACAGGCAAGCTGATTTGAATACATCGAAGTTGGGACAGCGGTGGTATCAGCATCTTAAGATGCTCATCTCACTGTTCACAGGTCGATAGAAAACAGTAAAAGGCCACAACCACGAGAGTCTATTAAAAAACAGCCAGAAACATTGGATTGAAGAACAGAGCAAAAGCAACAACCACAAAAATCGAGACAAGTACATGAAAAATTACCAGAAACATATCTTTAAAAATGAAAGGACTAGAAAGAGAAAACTCATACGCCAGAACCCCGAGTTCAAATCCTTTGGGAGAAGAACAACAAGGATATGATTTAAACTAACTGTTTACGTAATTTCGCAGGAACGGAGCACACATGCATCATACATAAACAAAAATAAACAGAACACAAGAACCAAGGAAATTTAAGTACATGGTATACAATCTCAATACAAAGGAAGGATCAGAAAAGGAGACACATACAAGGGCGGGCTGTACTGAATAAATCGAAGTTTGGACAGTGGTGGTATCAACATCGTAAGATGCTCATGCCACTGTTCAAAAGTCGATGGAAAGCAGTAAAAGGCCACAACCACCAGAGTCTCTTAAAAAACAGCCATAAAAATTGGATTGAAGAACAGAGCAAAAGCAATAACCACAAAAATTGGGACAAGAACATGGAAAATACTGAGAAGCACATCATTAAAAAAGGAAAATTCATACCTTACTGCCAAGATCAACACAGAGCCATCAGAAGAGTAGATCTGGAATCACTTTCAACAACAACGAACTTCACCAACAACAGATCTAGAATCAATGCCTACAACAACCTAGGAATAAACAAGCAAACGTGAGATACATTTCGCAGAAAAGAAAAAAGGAAATGCAACAAAACGCCTACAAAAAGGCCAGCAAGCTAAGAAATGATCGGGAATCTCCATACCGGAACTAAGAAGACCGACGGTCATGGAGATGATGGAAAGTTCGAGACTTTTCAGTTTCAACTAGACAGAGTGTTACTTTTAGTTTTTTCTTTATTAATTCTAAAAACTTTTATTATTTATAATAAAATAGTCATCGGGATCGTGTCCCGCTGACCTCTTTTCTTTAAAAAAAAAAAACATTTGAAACAAAAAAGCAAAACCCTAGATTTTCCAAACCTAAATACTCCCTACTAAAGATGAACCATTCCAGCCATAAATTTAACTATCTAAAAGGAAAGAGAATGAATAGCATAACATTTTTTGTATACCTACTTAAGGATCGATTTTCTAGTCTTAGATCAGAAATCAAGCCCTCTTTTAGCACAAGTTACAGATTTGCCTATTCAGCACAGAAGCATTATGAATTTTGCTTCTTAAAGTTATAGAGCTGTACGAAGCTTTTATAGAGAATAAAAGGCTTTTTTCAGCAAAAATATCTTGCCTCTAGGTTTACTCCATTGTGTGCTTTGCTGTCAGTAAATTACACTCGACCATCGGCTACAAGCAACTCCCACTCGCAATAAATAAGTCAAAAGAATATGTCTAAAACTTTATATCACAAGGGTTTATATACTCAATCATAAAAAAGCAGCAACCATTGCAATATACCGATAATACAACATAAGCATAACAAGAAAAACAAAAATCAAATTGAGAAATGCTTATTTAAATGAAAAGGGAATAATCAAGGTATCTGCCTCAACTATTCAAAAAAAACACGTCATTCTTTTATCAGAATTCATATTAGTGCCTCTGGCTTGACCTTGATTCCGGCAATTACAAGCATCCAAGAAGACCCCTTTGTCCATAATCAACTGCATTTTCGCCTTGAAGAGGAACAAACGTTCTAGTTCCATCATATAGAAATGGGAACAGAGTATGAAAATGAGGTACCCTGAGTCCCTGACCCCAAATACTATTTATCTTGATAGACATGATGTCTGGGCCAACACCCCAATAGATCGAAATCCTGTCTTTTACAACTAAAAAAGTGGTCCAGTCTTTTAGTCTCCATGCAAATTGCAAGGTACTTCCTAACCCCACTCTCTATCATATATGTTTTTCTTTAAAAAGAAGACAATATGGTTCAATTCGACCAAACAACAACAGGCCAAGAGTCTACCAGAGCTACCAGTAAATTTTTTACTGTAAAACCTAAAATATAAGCTTATAGCATATTGAAATAGAGTAATTACTAAATTAAGTAGCTCTCGTGCTTCCAAGTACACATTTTAGAGAGAGTCAACACTCTTCACCTCAAACAACAACAACATACCCAGTGTAATCCCGTAGATGGGTCTAGGGAGGGTAGGATGTACCCACACCTTACTACCTTTGTGAGGTGGAGAGGTTGTTTCCAATAGAATCTTGGCCTCAAAAGAAGTGTAATCAAAGTAGAGCACAAAGGAAAATAATGATAGCAGAATAGCAAGATAAACAAAGCAAATTAGATAACAAATACTACTAAAAGGGAAGGATAAGATACAATGTGAATACTAGCTAAGACTGCTAATAAAGGAGAAGAGGAGACTTGCTCCCTGCCTCTCCAATGTAAAAGTACTACAACACTCGTCTACCTACTACCCTTCTACTCTAATCCTCGACCTCTAGACCTTCCTATCTAGGCATACTCGAAGTGGCCTCGACTCAATAGAAGACAAAATGCGGGAAATGAGGCTGAGATCGTTTGGGCATGTGCATAGGAGATGCGCTGAGGTAAAGGTAGGCCGAAGAAATATCGGAAGAAGTGATTAGATAGGGCATGACGCAACTTCAGCTAACCGAGGACATAGTTGAGCTATGTTTCGCTTATCCTTCTATACTATTAGTCATAGTATTACCTTTGTAGTTTCTTGTCCGTTTGGTTATTATAAGTGGATATTTTACACTTGGATTATTGTTTTATCTTGATATGACTATTGTCTAGGATAATTTGTTAGGTTGTCTATAGTATTTTGCCACAACTTTCTTCATTTCCGTTATTTATTTCTCTATACTCCTTCAGACTGTTTTTCCTTGGGATGAGGGTCTATAGGAAACAACCTCTCTACCTCCAAGGTAGTGGGTAAGGTCTTTGTATACTTTACCCTCCCCATACCCCACTTGGTGGGATTACACTGGGTATGTAGTTGCGTATATATATATTGAATCCCCTTGACTTCTTTATATTTTGAATCTCCTTAAAGCAAAAATCCTGACTCTGCCACTGATGGTACTGGATGACCTACCTTATTTTTCAAGATTATAAAAGTTAACTCTATCTCTTTGTATGCACTTCTCAGAAAAAGATTGTGGGGTGGGACAGCAACTTGGAATTTTAAATGGTTAGATACTTTCAGAGAAAAAATCTTTTAACTAGTATGAGTTTACAATGATAGGCTTTGGATTGATATGCAGGATCAGAAACAAGAACTAGCAGCCAACTTGAAACTCAAGCCATGACAAGTAGAAGTTTGGTATTAGAATAGAAGAGCAAGGTAATTCATTGTGCACATTATTATCATGAGTTCAACTTACTTATACTGATAACAACTAACTGTTTATTGCAAAAGACATCCAGGAACAAACTGTTCGAACTAAAAGTATCTAAGCAAATAGGTCTGAAGGGTTCACCTCAGTAGAAGCGCACTACAGCAGAGGCAGAGGCTAATGGTGCTTTCATTAGAGAAGAAATTAATTGGGCCAAAGGTCAATACCTGCTTTTCCGCGAATATCTTCATTTCCTCTAACACCACGAAATGCTCGAACAAATATTCCAGATACTGAATCACCTGCTTCTTCATTGCATGACCAGCTACCACCACCTTCTTGAGGTGATGAGTCAAGCACTGGACAGGAGAATCTACCATATTCCAATATTCATCCGCATCAAACTCATATGGGCGAGTCCATGAGAGTGTGTTCTACAATAAGCACAAGAGAAATATCCCGTCAAGAGTTGTACCAACCCGGCAACCCGAGATATAACGGACACTGATAGGGACCAAAAATTACAAATTGCTAGGGTAACACAAGATGAGAACACATCTATAGTTACTGTCAAACAATCCATATAAAACCATACAAGTTCAGAAAATTAGTTCCACTTTGAATACTGTTTTTGTCTTTTGGGAGAGTAACAGAGAACTAGAAAACACGATATCATATGTTTCTACTTGATGATTTCTCAGGATTCCCAATATAATGAGTAAATAGAAGAGGGAGACTAGGAAAAATCATCCTATTTCCATATAGTAGAGAAACACACACATTTCATAGTAGGGACAATGTATATGAAATTTGAAAAAAAAAAATGTTCTTATAAAAAAAACAGGAAAATGCCAGAGTCAGTGCTCAACACATCCCGGTTATACCAACTCTGATTAGTGTCTTACCAGTGTCTGAAACCAAAATGTTGCCAAATCTTTAGTGTCCCTGATAATAAGCTCCAATCAAACATTGCAAAGAATGCAATAAAACAACAAGAGCAATAAACACAATTAAATTTTGTCATACATGGAATGTAGATTCATAAGAAGTTATTATGATGATAAGATTCTTCAAGCAAGGACAGTGCTTCAGCAAGTTCAGTATTCCTGGTAGGTGCCATTTCACTAAATCCAATTGAAGATGAAGGGATTTGCTGCTGAAGGCCGGAGATGGTAGATTTTTCAATTGCCACGAAGAAATTACCTAGGCAGACAAAAATTAAACACAAAAGATAAAAGAAACTAAATAAATAGATTTTCGTATTGATCAAATGTTTTTGTTGCTATGTGAAACATGAATATCTTCTATCTATTTTGTTGAACAATGCATATCTAGACCATGAAAACATACTGTTTTTAAGTTCAAATTAAGCACAAACACATTTGATACTATGCACAAATTTGGAGTGTACTTCAGAACATAAGTAAATGGTGTTGGCGAAGGATTATGGCTAAAGGGAAATGATTCTATGCACTATGAACATGCTATTAAATGATCAAGAAAACAAGGGTTTCTCTTCCTTAGGAATTGGCATGATAAAGAATGTCATCAAGGAGTTCTTACAATAGCAAAAAATAATACATCAACCAAATTTGATGCAAAGACTTCTTACTGAACCATGAAAATTAGCCATCTAAATTGCATAGAAGAAGTAGCCTAGAGTCATATGACAGCTTCACTATATTTTTGAGTTTTTACTGTCTAGCATTGAAGAAGTAACCAAATAATCATACTAATTATCTACCATTCTGAGTTTTACAAAAATGTGACAGCTTCACTATACAATATACATGCAAAAATATGCCAACTATGCTGTAGGACATATCATATTGACTTATCTACCACTCTGAGTTTTACAAAAACAGCATGCGGGGGGTTATTCTGATGACATTGAAATAAATCTTTCCTTTTCTCATAACTTTTCTTAAGAGAAGTAGAGAAGCACAAAACCAAAGTCATGATCAACTAGGACTTGTCCTGACTACCACAAGGTAAGTAACAAAAGCATTAAAACACTGATTGCACACTGTACATGAAGTATTGGCAGATGCCAAAACCTGAGGCATTAAAGACAATATCCAACACCATAACCCCTCTAGTCCATAAATGTACTGATATTCTATCTCTTGAATAGAAAAGTTCATAGTTAGTAAATTCACCTATAAAGTTATCTCTCAATAGAGTCAGAAATCATAACTATACCTGGAGAAGTTGTGAAAAAAGAGAAGAAGTGCGTACAGAGCAAACCAGGAACATAGCTTGAGACTTTTGGCCCCAGTAATTGTTTGGAGGAATATTCTCCTCTCTTGGTAATCCCTGTACTCTCCGAAGTCAAATTCTTCCATACAATTGGCAGACACTTAAACAATAGATGCAACATTTGTAATATCCAAGACCTCTGACCTCCACGGTTTCAAACATATTTAATGATAGGAGTTGGACAGGAGACATGTGTCCTTGTTACAAACCATCTAATGCCAAGTACCAATGTCTTTAAATTCGAATTGAGCAGAACCACTCTTCTATGGCCATAGCAAAACAACAACGTCAATTCCTCAAGAATTGGGAAACCATATAGAATATAATCCATCGATTGATCCATTAGTATAACGTTATCAAGAGAAAATGTTGTTAAGAGACTTCATCTCACTCTTCTTTTTTGTATTTATCTTTTTTGATAATTACAAAAAAGAAGAGTGAGATGAAGTCTCTTTTTTGTATTTATCTTACAGAATGCCAACTGGAGTTCAACCAAATGAGGACTGCTTAGAACACAATTACACAGATCATATAAGCATGTGGCTCAAAAATACCATGGACAAAGAATGACAAGTCAAGGACCTTCAAATTCTCATTTAATGCAAACTGGATCCAGGTACCAATTTCTTTAGCATCCTTTTCTCAGTCCTCAGAAAAATCATTCTGCCGTATGTCTGTTCTATTGGATACTCATTGCCGAATTGAATGAGTTAAGCTAAAATGAAAATCAAGGCAGAACGTATGAAGACTTGGGCTCTTGCTACGAAGAAGCACGTGAAGAACGAAATTCAAGAACCTTTCGTCATACTCAGGACAAACAGTTTTGACTATAATAGTCACAGTCGTGTTCTGGAAACAAAATCAAAAGTGAGTGTGTGGACGAATGGCTAGAGGTGATGAAATCTTCTAATTAACATTGTGTTGACAACAGCTTTTGATGGCAATAAGGAGAGAATATGGATGAGGGATAGCATCTGGTACTGGTAGTCTGCTCAAGCGGTCTTCATTAAAAATGAAGCTTCTTTGTTTTGCATACATTTTCATTTCTGTAAAATATCATTACACATTTAACTTTTTAGGTGCAAGAAATTGAAAACTATGAGCTGAAGAAAATCTTTAGCCTTAAATTGGCATATTCGGAAAGAACAGGTTATTCCAGATTGAGGATTAATATATAGAGAGGGGCTGGCATATGTTATTCCTACACACCAAGAGGAAGGGAACAAGACCTTTCATCCCTCAAGTTAATCAGATTCAGGAAATCCTAGAGTGCATCAATCTCAGCATATAAAATTTCCATTTAGAGATAACAGTTCATGATGATAAAACATGAGATCACACATATTGGGAAATTTTTTAATGTAATTAACTTTTGAAGTTTGGATTAAAAAATTTCTAAGATAGCAAATGCTATCTATATTCAATAATTTTCTAAGAGTACTGATACAACAATTAAGTGCAAACTCAACTATCTTTTTTTTTTTTATGGAATAACCATGGTATTCGGGTCAGCTTGCTCCCACTCGACTAATTCCACAGGATACATGCCACCTACCACCATCAGAGTACCAAGTAACTTTGTCCACCAAGGCTTGGACAAATGAGAAGAAATCACCTAGCGTTTTTGCCTCTACTGGAATTTGAACCTGAGACCTCATGGTTCTCAACCCACTTCATTGACCACTAGATCACACCCTTGGGTGTCAAACTCAACTATTTGTTGCACAAAACATTAAAAGGATGCCGATTATAAATATTCAACGGAAAAAGAGATGTATATGCTTACAGATCCAAGGCATAGACCTAAGACAACCAGACAGATCATAAACCAAGAAAAAAAAAAAGCATAACAAAGGTATGAAGTATCAGTAACTAAAAAATATCAACAGAACTCATGGACCATTAAGTGGAATGTGGCTCACATTACTAAGTATGTAATTACATTTTCACACCGAGATTTTGAAACAACATAGAAATGCAGATTTGCTATTCTGAAAGTGAAAGGCCCCTATCAAAAGACAACCTGCACACAGATGCGATAAGTGCATAAAATATATACCAATTTTCTTCGACCAATTTCATAACAGTTCTCTTCGCTTTTAGATAAAAAACGGAACATATCTGCACAGACTTGCACATACCAATAAGTTGTTGCCTTGAAAGAGCCGACATTTGAAATAGCACATGAGCAAAAACCAAAATCTCATATATAGCACACAGCTTACAATAGATTCAAACCAAATTTTAAGCAAAAAAGTGAGCAGGACAAAATTTAAGTATCTAAAAACAGAATACTTGGGCTTGTTATACCCTGAAATGAAAGAAAGTGAACCTTTCTTTCTTTTTATACCTTTGAAAGAAAAAAGAATAAATAGCATAACATTTTTTGTATACCTTCTTTGGAATCAATTTTCTGGTGTTAGATCAGAAATCCTCTTCAGCACAGAAACATTATGGAGGATATTAAGCATTTTCAGCCAAAATAATTTGCCACTGGGCTTACTCCTCTGTGTGTTGTGCTATCAGTACATTAGATTCAACCGTCGGCTACAAGCAACCCTCACTTCACACTATATAAGCCATAAAACTTTATATCTAAGGGTTACATATACTCAAATCATAAAAAGCAGCAAAACCATCACAATAATACAACATAAGCATAAACCAGAAAACCTAAAACTACTCATACATTAAATGACTAAAGTCTCAACATGACCTTGATCCTACCATATAGAGCTACCAAGGAAAACAATTATAAACGAAAAAAAATAAATCAAGGCATCTTACCTCAACTATTCAGAAACCACATCATTCCTTTATCTGAATTCATATGAACAGAATGTAAAAATGAAGTATCCTGACCCCAAAACACTTCTTAATAGATAAAAATCCTGTCTTTTACAACAAATAACAAAAAAAAATTTAAAAAAATCCAGTCTTTTACTCTCTGTACAAATTTCAAACAAATTGCAATATGCTTCCTAACCCAACTCGCTAAAGAGAAGAACAATAACTTTAATAGAGTAATTTAACTAAAAAATGAAATTCTTGAACTCAAATCTTAGGATCAAAATCATACCCATAAATCAAAATACACAAACCAAACACAACATTATAATCTCAAAATTATAACTTAAACTTCCGAACCAAACGACCCCGAAACTAACAAACAACCCTTAGGATTCCAATATTATTTAGAGCCAAATCTTCTACTTCTACTCCTCTCCCGTCTCAATTTATGTGCTAATATTAGCTTTAGTCTAATTTTGCTTGTAAATTTGAATATAATTTTTCAATTTTCTTAAAATGAAATTGATATATTTAAAAATTAAATTATTGTTAATTTAAAATATATATATATAAAAAAAATAGAATTAAAAATAGACTATTTCGGAATTCGAAAACTATCACATTAGGTTTATACAGCTATTCTGTATAGCCAAAAATATACTCATAGGGTAAATGTAGTGTTAAATATTACACTAATGTCCTTAAAAGATTAACCATTGTCCATTAACACTAAATTTTTAAGAAAGTTTATTTAAAATTTATGTGACATTTATTATTGATTATAATTTGATAAATTAAATTATATAAAAAAATTACCATGGAAGGTCGATATTTTGTAATTCTTTTTTTTTATATACTTTTGGAGGTCGATTTATATTTTTTTGATATCTTTGGAGGTCAATTTTTTTTCACAAAATATAAATTTGAAGAGAATAAGTATTGAAAAACCTAGTAAGAGCTTGTGTGGGTAAGTTAAAAAAACAGGTTAGTAAACTTATTGGGGTTATAGTTTCAAATTGAATCGGTAAAAAAAATATTACGTGAATTCTAAATAAGCTCTTTTCAAGTTCGATGTTGATGTTTGTCATAAGTGAGCCAAAAATATAATTAGAGGAATATTCTTAGTAAAATAGACGGACAAAGAATATAATACACCTTTTGCGAGAATTCATAGACATTGTAGATCCTCTTCATTTAACAAAATTACACAAGTATACAACTGACTCACTAGGAGGATTTTTATTTTTTTTGGATTTCCCATCCAGACCCATATTGAAGCCCGACTTAATTTGGATTTGCACAGAAAAATCCCATATTGGGTGTAAAGCGCTCTCTAACAAAGGCGACTCCATATCTAGGGGACTCGAAACCGAGACCTCTTTCAACTTGTGAAAAATTTCTGCTAGTACTCAAAAGTACCAATGATAGTAAAACCTTATGAAAAGCCTAACAGCTAAAAAATAGTCCTGAGGACAATCTTGCATGATGTTTTAAGGAGTAGAAAGCAGAACAACTAATAGAAGGCCCATCAATCTGCCTTTCTCCTCTTCTAGGCTCTCATGTAAATGCAATTTCACACATAAAAAGAAAAAAAAAACTTTATAACATCCAACAAGATAGCACTTCAACAGTTATTACAGAAAATGGAGGAAACTGTGTCCACAGGACAATTCATTGTGCACAGACCAATAGCAGCTAACTGTTTATTGCAAAAGAGTTCCCAGAAACAAACTGTTCGAACTAAAAGTATCTACTAAGGGTTCACCTCAGTAGAAGAGCACTGCAGCAGAGGCAGAGGCTTTTGGTGCATTCAATAGCCTCTCTTCATATTCACAAATTTTAGAGGTTTTTTTCTTTGCAAATATCTTCATTTTCTTTAACACCATGGAATGCCTGAGCAAATATTCCAAAAACTGAATCACAAATTTCTTCTTTATGAGACCAGCTACCTCCACCGTCTTGAGGTGATGAATCATGCACTGGACAGGAGCATCTACCATGTTCCAGTATTCATCCGCGTCAAACTTATATAGGTGATACCACGATAGTTGTTTCTGAAATAAGCACAAGAGCAAATCTCCCATAAAGAGTTGTACCAACCCAAGTATAACAGACACTGAATAGTGTACTGTCCAAACAAACATTGCAAGAACACAGTTAATAACAAGAGCAATAAAACAATTAAATTTTGTCATACTTGGGATGTAAATTCATTGTAAGAAGAAGTAATTTTGATGATAAGATTCTCCAAGCAAGGACAGTGCTTCAGCAAGTTCAGTATTCCTGGTAGATTCCATATCATAAAATCTAATTGAAGATGAAGGGATTTGCAGCTGAAGGTTGGAGATGGTAGATTTTTCAACTGCCACGCAGAAAATACCTAGGCAGACAAAAATTAAACATAAAAGTCAAAGAAACTAAACAAATAGAGATTTTTGAATTGAGCTTAATGAACAATGTAAGACTTGTGCTGACTACCACACGGTAAGTAACAAAAGCCTTTAAAAGCAGATTGCACAATGTACACGAATATTGACAGATGCCTGAGCCTGAGACGTTAAAGACAAAACCCAACGCCATAGCCCCTCTAATCCAGTTTATAGTTAGTATATCACCCTGGAGGTTAAAGTAAGAAATCATAACTATACCTGGAGAAGTTGCGAAGAAAGAGAAAAAGTGCGTACCAGAGCAAACCAGGAACATAGATTGAGAGTTTTGGCCCCGGTAAATGTTTGGAGGAATGTTTTGATCCCTTGGTAATCCTTGTACACATCGAAATCAAATATCAGATTGCGATTGACAGACACTTCAGCAATAGATGCTACATTTGCAATATCCAGCACCTCCACAGCTCCAGACATATCTAATGATAGGAGAGTTGGACAGGAGACATGTATCCTTTGTCGAAACCATCCAATGTCAAGCTTCAATGTCTTTAAATTTGAATTGAGTAGAACCACTCTTATATGGCCATAGCAAAGCTGCAATGTCAATTCCTCAAGCATCGGGCAACCAGATAGAATATAATCCATCGATTGATCCATTAGCACAACATTATTAAGATATAATGTTTTTAGAGACTTCAGCTTACTTTTCTTTTTTGCATTTATCGTACAGTGTGTCAACCAGAGTTCAACCAAATGAGGACTGCTTAGAACACAATTAGGCAGATCATAAAGAGCCTGTGGCCCAACTGTACCATGCTCAGAGAAAGACAAGTCAAGGACCTCCAAATTCTTATTTAATGCGAACTGGATCCAGGTACCAATTTCATTAGCCATCCTTTTCTCACTCCTCAGGAAATCATAGTACTGCCATATGCCTGTGCTGTTGGATGTTCTTTGCCAAAATGAATAAGACAATCTAAAATGAAACTTAAGGCAGAACTTATGAATAGTTGGACTTTTACTACGAAGAAGCACGTGACGAACGGAGTGCACAAACCTTTCGTCGTAGTCAGGACGACCAGCTTCCAAATAATAGTCACAGTCATGTTCTGGAAACATGTATTGATCAAAATTGAGTGTGTGGATGAATGGCCAGAGCTTATGAAATCTTCTACTTGCGTTACAGATTCCTTTGACAGCATCCTTTAATGGCAATAAGGAGAGAATATGGATGAGGATGTCATCTGGTAGTCCGCTCAAGCGGTCTTCATTCAAAACACAACTTCTTTGTTTTGCATACATATTCATTTCTGTAAAACATTATAACACATTTTAGGTGCGAGAAATTGAAAACTTTGAGCTGAAGAAAATCTTTAGCCTTAAATTGGGATATTTGGAAAGAACAGGTTTTTCCAGATTGAGGATTAATCTATAGAGAGGGACTGGCATACGTTATTCCTACAAACCAAGAGGAAGGGAACAAGACCTTTCATCCCTCAAGTTAATCAGATTTAGCCATTTAGGAAATCCTAGAGTGCATCAATCTCAGCATATCAAACTTCCATTAGAGATAACTGTTCACGATGATAAGGTTTGTGTACACTCTACCCTCCCCAGACCCCACCTAGTGGGACTTCACTGGGTATGTTGTTGTTGTTGTAGTTCATGATGATAAAACATGAGATCAAACATATTGGGAGATTTTTTGAAGTAATTAGTTATAAAGTTTGAACTGAAAATTTTCTAAGACAATAAAATGTAATCTTAAATTTAGTAATTTTCTAAGAGTTCCCACTGATATAACAAACAAGTGTAAATTCAACTATCTCTTACACAAACCGTCAAAAGGATACAACAACTACACCTCAATCCCAAACAAGTTGAGGTCAGCTATATAAATCCTACAACAACAAGAACACACCCAATCCCACAAGTAGGTTTGGGAGGGTAGGGTGTATGTAGACCTTACCCCTACCTTTGTGGGATAGAGAGCTTGTTTCCTATAGATCCTTGACTCAAGAGAATTCATTCTCCACAAGAGGTTTGAACAAAATAAAAGATAGTTAAAGCAAAAGTGACAACAATAGTAATAGAAATAAAGAAAAAGATAATGTTAGCATAATAATGATATTTGTAAGTGGATAGGTGCTCCAGCCTAGAACCTTGCTCTACCACTAGGAAGAGAGAAGCCACTCAACTACCTACTAATTGTTACATTAATCCTCAACCTCCATACTCTCCTATTAGGGTCATGTCCTCGGTGAGTTGAAGATGTGGCATGTCTTGCCTAATCACTTCTCCTCAATTCTTCCTCCATCTACCTCTACCTCCCCTTAGACCTATCATTGCCAACCTCTAGCATCTCCTCATTGGGGTATCGGTGCTCCTCCTTTTCACATACCTCAGTCATCTCAGTCTAGCTTCACACATCTTGTCCGCCAAGGATGTCACCCCCACCTTGCGTTGTATACCTTTATTCTCGATCTTATCTCCACTAGTATGGCTATAGATCCATCTAAGCATCCTCATTTCTGCTAGTTCATCTTTTGAACTTTGAGATATATTGGCGAACACTCAACCCTATACAACATAGTTGGTCTAACCACCACTCTATCAAACTTACTTAAAGTCTCGGGTCCCTTATCACATAAGACACCAGATACGAGCCTCAATTTCATCCACCCACATTCTAATATGACATGTGACATCCTCGTCGACCCCCATTTCCTTAGATTATAGACCTAAAATACTTAAAGCTATACAAATCCTCATTTCTCTATCTAAGCTCTTATCATATCATCATCATAATTAATAAATAAAAGTGAAAAATACGCTATATATATAAATAATCCTAATAATAATATTTAAGCCAACAGAAGGATGCCGCTTAAAAAAGTTTCAATGGAAAAACAAATGTATCTGCACCACATCCAAGACATTTACCTAAAAGACAAACAAACAAATCTTAAACCAAACAATGACAAAGGTTTGTGAAACTAAGTAGGGCCTTCTCTTTTTCTTTGATCAACCCATCCTCATTATCTTTAATAAGTAAAGTAGGCAAACATACAGGTCATTAGTAGTATTGACAAAGGAGTCGGTGAAAAGAAAGGAAATATTTCCATTTTTCTTATATACAACAACAACATACCCTTCCTCCTATATAATAAAATAAAATAGAAAGAAATTTATTATTATTATACATATATAGACCAGCTTGACAAGCAACTCTTCCTCTTGAAAACCTTAACATGTCTCTAGTATCTAAACCTAAAAAATATCAATAGAACTCATGGACCATTAAGTAGCAATGTAGTGTAGCTCACACTATAAAGTTGCATAACTACATTTTCATTTTGGTATCCAAAAATATGTAAACAACGTAGAAATCCAGATTTTTTATTCTGGATGGCCCCTAACAAGAGTTAACCTGCACACAAATGCAATAAGTGCATGAAATGTATACCAATTTCTGAACAGTTTTCTTCGCTACTTGCTCAGATTTAGACATACTGATAAGTTATGCCTAGAAAGATCCAACATTCAAAATAGTATACAAGTACAAACCAAAATCTCATATATAGCATTGAGCTTACAGTAGATCCAAACCAAAATTTAACCGACAGAGGGAGCAAGTAGAATTTAAGTATCTAAAACCAGAATATTTGGGTATTTTATACCCTGAAAGAAAGGATCACAAGATACATTGGCAAAAAAAAATAAAAAAATAGATACATTGGCAAAAGAAAGATCCAATACAAGTTGAATCAAAGAAAGATTCTCATTTCCAGTTTCAACATTTGAAACACAAAGCAAAACCCTAGATTTTCCAAACCTAAGTACTTCAGGATCGGTTTTCTAGTCTAAGATCGGAAATCAAGCCCTCTTTTAGCACAAGTTACAGATTTGCCTATTCAGCACAGAAACAATACAAATTTTGCTTCTTAAAGTTACAGAGTCATACGAAGCTTTTGACTATCTAAAATGAAAGAGAATGAATAGCATAACATTTTTTGTATACCTTCTTCGGAATCGATTTTCTAGTCTAAGACAAGCCCTCTGTTAGCACAAGTTACAGATTTACCTATTCAGCATAGAAACAGTATGAATTTTGCTTCTTAAAGTTACAGAGTCATACGAAGCTTTTAACTATATAAAATGAAAGAGAATGAATAACAACATTGCTTGTATACCTTCTTTGGGATCGATTTTCTAGTCTAAGATCGGAAATCAAGCCCTCTTTTAGCACAAGTTACAGATTTGCCTATTCAGCACAGAAGCATTATGAATTTTGCTTCTTAAAGTTATAGAGCTGTACGAAGCTTTTATAGAGAATAAAAGGCTTTTTTCAGCAAAAATATCTTGCCTCTAGGTTTACTCCATTGTGTGCTTTGCTGTCAGTAAATTACACTCGATCATCGGTAACAACCAACTCTCGCTCGTAATAAATAAGCCAAAAAATATGTCTTAAACATTATATCACAAGGGTTTATATACTCAATCCTAAAATAGCAGCAACCATTGCAAGCCAATAATACAACATAAGCATAACAAGAAACCTAAAACTACTCATATTAAATGACTAAACTCTCGGCATGACCTTGATCCTACCATATAGAGCAACCAACGAAAACAAAAATCAAATTGAGAAATGTGTATTTAAATGAAAAGGGAATTCAAGGTATTTACCTCAACTATTCAGAAACCACATTGTTCATTTATCTGAATTCATATGAGTGCCTCTGGCTTGACCTTGATCCCGGTAGTTACAAGCATCTAAGAAGACTCCTTTGTCCATAATTGACTACATTTTCGCCTTAAAGTGGAACAAACATTCTAGTTCCATCATAAAGAAATGTGAACAGGCTATGAAAATGAGGTACACTGACGCCAAACTTTTATTTATTGATAACTGTGATGTTTGATCCAGCACCCCAATAGATCGAAATCCAGTCTTTTACAACAGGAAAAAAGGGTCCAGTCTTTTACTCCCCATGCAAATTGCAATGTACTTCCTAACCCCACTCCCTATCATATATGTTTTTCTTAGAAAAGAAGACAATATGGTTCAATTCAATCAAACAACAACACACCAAGAATCTACCAGAGCTACAGTAATTTTGTTAATTGTAAAACTTAAACTATAAGCATATAGCATACTGAAATAGACTTTTACTAAAATAAGTAGCTCTCTTGCTTGCAAGTACACATTTTAGAGAGAGTCAACATTCTTCACCTCAAACAACAACAACAGCATATCCAGTGTAATCCCGCAAGTGGGGTCTGGGAAGGGTGAAATTTACCCACACCTTACTACCTTTGATGGCTAGAGAGGTTGTTTCCAATAAAAGCTCAAAAAGAAGTGTAATTAAAGTACAGCTCAAAGAAAAATAATGACAGCAAAATAGCAAGATAAACAAAGAAAATTAGGTAAGAAATAGTACTAAAATGGAAGGATAAGATACTATGTGAATACTTGGTAAAACTGCTAACAAAGGAGAAGAGGAGACTAGCTCCCTGCCTCTCCCATGTAAAAGTACTACAACACTCGTCTACCTACTACCCTTCTACTCTAATCCTCGACCTCCATACCTTTCAATCTAGCATCATGTCATCTGTACGATGTGTCATGTCTTGTCTAATCACATCTTCCCGGTTCTTCTCTGGGCTATAGCCAAACGTTTTCGCCTCCTTAGTGCCTCACGCACCTCCTCTTCACATGTCCAAACCACCTCAATCTCGCTTCCCTCATTTTATCCAATATAGAGTCACTCCCATCTTGTCCTATATAACTTCATTCCTTTTCCTGTCTTTCCTAGTGCACATCCATTTGAGTATCCTCATCTTCCCTACCTTCATTTTCTGAACATGTGCGTTCTTGATGAGCCTTCACTCTACCTCATACAACTACATAGGTCTAACCAGTAACCACCACCACTCTATAGAACTTAACTTGTGACACATTTTTATCACACAGTACTCTAGACGGGCCTCCATTCCACCCACCCCACTCTAACACTATGAGCAACATCATCGCCAATCTCCCCTTTTTTATTGGATTATAAACCCTAGATACTTGAAACTCCCTTTTCTTCGGTATCCGTTGTGATTTGATCTTCATTTCCCCCTCTGTCTCATGCATTCCGCTAATTTCAGATATGCTTCATGAAGTAGCTTTACCATTTGACTGAGGCAAACATTTGAATTTTAAAAAATAATTTACTTAAAATTCACCCAATTTTAATTTGATCAGTAAATTAAATTATTAAAAAGAAAATTACAATCGTCGGTATTTCACGATTATTTTATAAAAAGATTGTCTGATGTAAGTCTATTTGTACTTTCTCGAATTTTGGTGCTAAAAATCAATCTACGAGGTCAATTATGCTAAAATTAATTAAAAAGATAATTTTATGGAGGTCAATTTATTTCATGAAAATAAATTTGAAGAATATAATTTTTTTTAAATAAAAAATTGATAATAGCTTGGGTTGGTAAGTCAAAAAATCGGGTGAGTAAATTTATTTAATTGAGGTTATAGTTTAAAATTGGACCAGTAATAAAATGTCATGTGAATTTTCAATAAAAAATAAATAAAATTCAATAGCGATCTTAAACAAAGAACATAAGTAAACTAAACATATAATTAGAGAACATTTTGACCTTTTTTCCAAAAAAATAAAATTACATAACTATACAAACTAAGAGGGATTTTACAGCTGGGTTAAACACATTGGTCACTCTATAATTTATAAGGAAAATCGAATTCTATAAATTAAAAATATTTTCTATCTTTTATTATTACTTTCTATCTAAAACATCTTGAAGGAGAGAAATATTTTACTTCTTAATAAGTGACCTTTTTTTTTCTACAACATGAATTGTGGTGCAGGAACGCATTAAAGCAAACTTGACGTATACAATTAAACGAAGAGGTCTAGATGTCTATAGTGCCCCTTCATAAAAGGTGGTTATATCACTAGATGTGTCACTGTTAACCAAAAAAAAAGCACAGGAGAAAACACCATTTGATGAGATAAATAACTGCCATCGAGTTAATTTCAGCAAGGAGGGACATACTTCTTCCTAAGATTCAAAATCTGAATGCAAAACCTTCTATATGAAGCAGACTGATCCTGATACAATACCGATGAGTATACATCTATCTATACACCATTGAAGACCATTATGTGCAAGTTGCAACAACAATGACAAGAGAGAATGAATATGTAAGTTCTTTCATAATGTAGCACTTTGAACTCTGCAGAGAGAAATATGCCCCAGATGGACTTAGCTGACGCAAATACTTCAACTTCCTTGGAGCAGAAGAATGATGTTGTAGAGAGTTTAAACAACTCCAGATTTTCAGGCAGAGGTGTGCATACTGTATAAAAGGTACTCAAAGCAATTACTTTCTGCCCTTCTCTTTCCTGACTAATCCTTAGTAAGCCATCTACGGCCACGAACTTGGATACCACCATAGCTCTGATCACTGCTACTTTCTCCACCACTTTCTGCACTGGTATATCCAGATTTCCGACGATGCTTCTTTTTCCTTGAAGCTCCACTGTCACTAATGCTTCCATGTAAAAGCGGATCATCTATCCCACGTATGACCCTCCGTGCTGGAGATGATGTTGCAATGCAACTGTCATCCTTTGTTCGCTTCTCTTTCTCATGCTTCTTTATGTTCTGAGAGATCTTATGCAATTTTTTAATTCCTTTTTCTACAGGCTCCACTGCTTGGGTTACCGTGAATTTCAAATCATTCACTATCTGTAGAAAGTATTTGTT